AAGACGCCCCCACAGCGAAGGAAATACTTCATCAAATCGGTAGGAGAACCAGCATTCAGATGTTCCCAGCCATGGTCTGGGTAGAAAGCACTGCCATACTAATATTTATTACTGTTCCTACACCTGTAATTTATCAATGTCACAGAGCAATAACAACAGAAAATATAAGTCTGTCTCTCCTGTTACAAAAAGATAAGAAGAAACACTGGTATCTTTCTGGGCTTCTATAACAACCTCCCCGGAATATCCTCTGTAAGGAAGATTCAAGCTGTTGATAAAAAGCAATGCAGATAATCCAGATAATGTTAACAATACAAACATAAATATTTCTGTTAAGCACATCAAATTGGGGGGCATTTAGGTAAATTATTACGAATATGAAAAAGTAGGGGGGCAGGGGGGTGTGGTCATTAGTGTGAATGTGTCTCAGCTCTTGGATCCTGGGTTTGAGTCGAGACCAGGGCACCTTCTGTGGAGAGCCTGCATGATCTGTGGTAGCAAGGGTTTTTGCCTGGTGCGCCGATTTCCTCCCAAAGACTTGCTGGCTATGTTAACTGTCTAATTCTAAATAAAAAAGTAAAGGTTACTTACAAGCTGAAAAGCAGAAAAAAGAAACGTAGCATTTCGGGTGAAGAGTTGAGGTGTGAGAAAAGGAGAAAAAAAGTGTTTCTTCTTCCTGCTTTTCAGTTCCTTTATGTTACTTTTTAAGCCAAAGCTGTCTGATGCAGCTCTCCACTGGACATACCAGCTGGCATATCTGTGTTTTACAATTTCATATGTACAATATGCCTTGTTTAAAATGTCGCACAGTTCAGTGGGTAGTCAAGTTTATCTCAGCCCCGTCTTTAGTTTTTCATTGCAGGAAATTACTGTAGAACAAAAGATCCTTCCTCTCATTTTTCTTTAAAGTAAACAGAGCTCTACTACGGGATGTGCAGAACATTCATTCTGGAAGAGAAGAACATTGTGCTACAATGAAGCCACTCTCATCCCCTCTGGGAACAGATGTTGGCATGCCGCGGTGGGGACAATATCGCTGTTCATCAACTAACAATACTGGCACCAAGGACAGAAGTCATTTAGGCTCTGTGATTCTTTTATATTGTGTGACAGTGCTAATTTATTTGGACTAGAGTTGTAAAAGATGATGTGACCGCAACGTGACAGAGTCACAGGTTAACATACAGGCAAATAAAACCCTTTGAAAAATACAAACACTATGATCAGAATTACTAATATACTACCATGTAAAAACATCCCAGATGAGAGCGCATCTTTGCCCGTGATAACTGACACTAAGTGTCTTTGTATGTTTGATGGACAGGCCCCCTGTCCAGTGAGAATTTCCACTTGGCTTCATTAAGTTCCATTTCACCCCAAGCCTCCTTAGGATAAGGGGATCATGGACAATGGATTATTACTGCCAGCTTTTCATATTCTTGAGAAAAAAATAGAGCAGTTTAATTTTTTTCTTGACTAAGACAAAACAGTCCCAAAGTGATGCAAGTCAAGAGCCCTGTCAATATTTCAGTTATGGCACTTTCAAAGTTGCTAATCAACCTCAAGTCCTGGCCTGCTGTTCATTTCAATCAAGACAGAACTGTGACACAGCAAACACCAAATACACTAAAGAACGCGCAATATTTGTACATCTTAAACAATAGAAGGCAAATTTAGATCCAAGGACCTACAAACCAAATCATGCTCCCATTTCCTTTATTTTTTCAGTAATTCTTTAAAAATGGCAGAAACAAAAATTAAGTCCTTTTGTTAAAAATGCTTTTATATGGAAGTTGTATCACAAAAAGACATTAATTTAGATTGGGCCATGATTCTATATTGTACATCTTTGCTTTTATGACAGCTTTTTGTGTTTTTTGTCTGGTCGGTCTCACTTCAGGAACAAATCCACTGTTTGGAAGACGTCCGTTTATCCTTGCAGATGATTGCCAATTTTTGCATTAAAATGTATAATTTGCATCAGAACGAAAATGTGGAAAACTAAGTTATCTTGCGACCTCAAAGTTGAACAAAACAACTTATAACAATACAAAAGAGAAAAAATAAAATTTTGGGGGGGAGCTGTCTTATTCTCAGGGCATTTTGCAATAGGAGGCACTAAATCCTACAAAATGGCTTTCATCAAGTACCTGTACGTATACTAAAACTGCTTAATAGAGGCAGAGTGTTTGTGGAATGTTTCTAATGGAGAGCATCACAACACAATAAAGATTCCTTCAGTACTGATTAACAAGCTAATGGGGCAAATGGGGACAAAAAGGTGGACACTTAAGAGTAACATGTAATCCAAGACCACTGCAGTGAATAAGCACTGGCTGCGTAACAATATATTCTCTCCAAGTAAGTCTCTAGTATGACAAAATCTGAAATACTTATGAATATAGCTGAATTAATGATATGCAGTCAGCTAAATAGTTCACAAACATCCTTTATCGTCAAGAACTCAAAAATATATTGCATTATCTGTGTCCTTGTAGGTCTGTATAATAGTTTTTTTTCCCAAACATGAAAAAATCCAAAATATGTGCAAACTTCTTTGCAAATCTTGTTCAAAGTTTAACTTGCATATTCTAACTGAGAACTTTAAAAGTCTTTTGTAATATGATTACAAAAGCTTTCTGTCACTTGTCACAATCAAATTTTCTGCAGTTACACTGAACACAAGAGAATGTCTGAACACCACAATCTCTGTATCTTGGCATAACCATACCACAAACAACATACAGTACTCTCTTCAACATACAGGAAGCCTAATCACAGGATTGAGTCTGTGACACACAGTCAGATATGTGGCATCTGGTTCTGTGACAGAGCTTTTACATAATATGCATTCCTACATCAAACCAAGAACAAATCCTTACTTTTTAAATGTGTGTTTGCAAGAATCACAATAACTTAGTAAATCCATTAGAATCATTATGTTCATCCTTGCACAAGGCACTGAAACAATATTGTTTTTTTAAAGGAAGAGCTGCACAAGATATCTAGTTACAAATTCTTGAACTTCATATTTCTGTGTTTTGGTCAAATCTGTCTTGTTTAAATTGAGAAGAAGTAAATTAACATAGGAAGTTTTATCAACAATTGAAGTATCCTGGTCCCCTCCTGTTCTGATTAAAACAATTGTATTTCTCCTTGAAGTGACACCTTTTGAAGTCCTTGGTATTTGCCCTCAAACGCAAGTACGGTGTGATGTGATTAAATTCTATGGCTCACACTTTATGGGATTATGATGCTCAATTCAAACTGTTTTTTTTTATTGCAATGAACAAAAGAACAAAACCAAAGTCAGATTAAGACATTGGCACTTTGAATCTGTCAATATTAATGATGAGGACTGCGATAATATAATTATTAAACTCCTTATTAAATCTTAGAACAATTTTTATTCTCTAAACTTAGAGTAGGTAATGGTGCATACACTAATAGATTTTAATATACCCTGAAATTTACAGCTGGCCAGACATTATTTGAAAATTGAGATTAAAAGCAGCAGAAACATCAGTATTTCGACACTGACACCTAATTGTCCTCCACAGGGATTCTTTTCCCTGAGATAGGAGTTTCCACAATGTGGTATTTCTTCATATTACAAGATTTCTACAACACGGATTAACTACATTCCTGTACTGACCCAAACTTTAAAAGGAAAAAGAAAGTAAAAAAATATTGAAAGCCTTTGTAGAAGGCTTAGCCTATATTATACATTGTTAAACATTTTAAAATCAACATCACTTTCTCTCTCTCTTTACAAGTTTGTATCATCAGTATCGGATATCAGCTATACTCATGCCTAGTACCCAAACTACTGGTGATGGAAAAGTTGTAGTATTCAAACAAATGATAAATAAAAATGCCCACAACTGAAAATTGCAGCCAGTTGAAGTGAAAATAATTTATTCTTTTCTAACCCAAAATCATAAAGTTTTGAAACTTTATTCAGAAAAACGTTACAATGTACTGTGATAACGCAGAGTCACCATTTACGATTTATTGTATCTTACGATGAGATCAAATCTGTTTTTTTCCAGAATATTTTGTCTTTAAATCAATTTGTTTTTGCAAAAACGTCAAAAAAGGTTTTTGAAGTCACATTTCTCAGTTACTGTGGTCCAGACATTTTTGATTTTCTCACTATTTTAGTATGTAAACACCAGCAGAGAGGCGTCTCTGAGAAACCTGACAGGATGCCTCCCTATATCATGCAAGCAAGGGTCCATAAACTATGACCTGCCCAGCGCCCCTTTTATAGGTCACCCCAAGTCACCTTTTATTTAAAGATCAGTAACACTTGTTTAAGTTAATGAGCAAATAAGCAAGTAATCTATTCAATGAAGGGAACTCTGGCCCTTGAAAACTGAACGTCTCCTGTTTTTTGTTCCAATCGATCTCTAAATTAATTAATTGAGCACACCACTTGTTTAACGGTTCACCGTTAAATTGTTCTAAGTCTTCAAAAATCGATGGCTTTAGTGGTTCACTATAAAACCTGCTGGGCTAGAACTTCTTGAGGACCTGGGTTGGTACAACGCAAAGCACTGTGGAAAGGTTGATAAAGCTGCCCTGCCAAGTTTCAACCTCTTTTCTTCACATAAAATGGCTGTTTTCTCTACGTTTGGGAAGAAGCCATATTATGGAGTGGTAGGAAAGGATCAGTGAATCGCAGAGCTGGCTCTCATAACACTGTCTGCATACATGAAGAAGACCTCACTTCTTCTGACTAATTAAAACAGTTTTCCCGTCAACTGCATTATAAACAAAGAGCTGCCGGTGTCTACGGAAATACAAAACCACGCTGAGCACTTTATTGTTAGTCAAATCCGCAAGGTTCCCTCAATACATAAATACCAAAAACATTCTGATTTATGAGTACGGACTTTCACTTGGCTGAGAAAAAGGCACTTCAGCTACCGTGGTCTGAACAAACTTGACTTGGCATCTCCCTTTCAGAAGACAACCTTGAGGGTGCCTTTTCTTACCCAGCTTGGAATCAAACCTCCAGGCAGGAATGTGGTCGTTCTCCTTCAGATTGCTGTTGGCTGGGAGGGGCACAGTGACGTCGATGGGCCCAGTGACTTGGATCTCAGTGCCATCGCTGCTGAGCAGACGAATGCTGACTGCTGTGATAGGGGTCAGCTGAAACCTCCTGTTGTTTCCTGCAGGAGGGTGGGGGGGAGGAAATGGAAAGATTAACAGAGCAAAAACAGTTCCAAGGCAGCTGTCCATTGCAGTGTTAGAAAAGAAGAGGGAGGGGCTGTTGCTTTTGGAATGGGCTGATGTAGAGGATGAGGTCACCATCATCACAAAAAAAAAAACTTGATTGGCAGCTGTAAAACATTTCCGCGCTTTGGAAATTTCTCCCTATCCCCACTCCTCCACAGTCAATGTCTAGCTAGCAGGCACGGACAGCAGTTACTGCTGAGGAGTATGGGAGAGGGGGGTTAATTTGTGCTTTAACATATTGGTAGACCACTTACCTTTACAGGAATGGTTAACACCACTCCAACCATCTGGGTAAGGAAATCGCAGTGTACAGGCTAGCTCAACCAGACTCTGAGCTTCTTAAGAGCTTCTTCCTGCAGGCTGTCAGGCTCCTCAACACCCTGGAATCTACTTGCACCCGCCCCAATTCCAGAAACAGGGTTTAAATCCCCCCAGTGTGCTGTGTATATTGTATTATGTATTTGCCTTGCACTTTGCACTATGTGTATCCTGTCTACAATGTCTATGTCAGTGTCCTGTCTGTCCTAACTGTATTTGCACCGTGGATGAGGAGGAATGATATTTCCTTCCACTGTATACTTGTATATGGCTGGAATGACAAATAAACGTGAACTTGAACTTGAAAAGGGTAGACATACTGAAATTACACATCTGAAACACTCTCAAGACTTACACTAAAGTAATCTATTCCATCTCAGAAAAAGTATGCAATGATAGCTCAGAGATGAGAAGAAAGCAGTTTCTCTTAGGCATCCTTCTGCACTGTTTCCAGACAAGCTATTGATTATTATCCTAGAACAAAGGTTAGGCTGTCTACGTATTAGATAACAAATGCACTGCTGTTACCGACTCCACATTTCGGTTCAATACATTAACGCCAGCCAGGCTGTGACTGTTCTGACTGTTAAACTGGGCTGTGGTGGTATTTGGGGGAAAAAAGCAAATTTTTGCATTTACAAAGTTTTCCTTGATTGTGCAGTACATCAAAATACCTTTATTGGTCACTAGGTTTGATCTAAAATATTCATCCATTCATCATCAGAAAGCTACTATTTTCTGAAATGGGTCACTAAAACTAACACAGTTTATCCTGGAAGTACAGGATACAAGGTGGGAAGAGGAATCGAACTATTTAGAAATAAAGATTCTAGAAAGCGTCCATCTTCACAATCTGTCTAAACGGGTAGCTGATCATGTCCACCTTACCTGTCCCATTCCCACCAACTCCCTGTAGATAAGGGAAACTGTCTACCTCCCACGTGGAGTCTGCCGCAGTGAGGAAGGCAGTGAGGTTGCTGTAGGTGGCATTTGGAGGCAAGCTGAGGGACGTTCTCTGAAACTGAACCCGAGGCTGCACCCTCGTTCCTGCAGGATTGCAAACACAGTGGAGTCAGAAACAGCCCCGGCCTCCGCACCGCGCGACCCAGAAGACGAGGCCAGAAACCGAACATCAGAATACGAAAGGGATCCCATTGCATCCAGTGTTGCACTTGGGCTTGCCTACCCAAGAGCACGTACTGGGGACAGTGGATGTTAAAGTGTACAGTGGATTGCCAGTGTGTACAGTGGATTGCCAGTTAAGTGACTCCACTTCACATGGGAATGACACAAAAAGGAACAAGTCACGGAGAAGAAAGCATTTTCATTCATGGTTAGTGGACATTGAGGAATAAAATTAAATTATAAGTCTTCACTACTGTTGAAATATGTACAGTTTTATAATACTACTTTTATGAAGATGGTTTAGTCAGTGTTAATTCTAACCTGCAAGTCCATTTCTCAACCACCTTCCTCTTCTTCTTTTTCACAGTCTTAGTCCCAGACTGTCCTGGGGTCAGCTGCTTTGGTTGCTCTTCTCCACTTGTCTCTGTCGAGCACATCTTCCTCACTCACTTCACACACCTCCATATCTTTTCTCACACAATCTATCCATCTCTTTCTAGGCCTGCCTCTTCCTCTGTTACCTTCCACCTCAAATTCCATTACCCTCTTTGTTACTTCCTCAACGTCCCTCCTCATGATATGTCCATGATATATACCTCGCCTCTCGCATCTTCTCAGCCACATCCACCACCCTACATCGTCTACGGATTTCTTCATTTCTGATCTTATCCTTCATTGAAATCTGCAGAATTCATCTCAACATCCTCATTTCAGTTCTTCTCATCAAGTTCTCTTCCCTCTTTCCAACTGCCAAGCATTCAGCTCCATATAGTAGTACAGGTCTAATCACAGTCTTGTACATTTTGCACTTTAACCTTCTAGGAATTTTCCTGTCACAGATTATTCCATTTCTCAACCACCGCTGTCTTTTTTTAACACAATGACAGGCTGATGAGCCTTACCCGTCAAGCAGAAGTCTGGTACTGTGCAGGTTAGCGTTCTTTCACCCACACATTCATAATTCGAAGCATGACTAATGCTATTTTAAGACGTACACAGGTGCCTCAGAGAAATCTGCTAGGATTCCAGCCCACATCATCTAGACCAGGGGACTACAAATCTGGTCCTGGGACCGTCCAATCCAGTTAGTTTTATAGGTCACCCCAAATCAACTCTTAAGTAAAGAGGAACATTTGTTTAATTTACTGATCAACTAAGCATGTAATGTGTTCAGTGAAGAGAACTCCGTCCCTCGATGACTGAACCAGAAGACATTTTTGTTCCAGTTGATTAATTCTCTACATTAATTGAACTCACCACCTGTTTAACTGATCATGGTTTTAATGTTCTATGTCTTCAGAAAATGAGGCCTATGAAGCCTGCTAGACTGGGCCTCTCGAGGACAAGGGTTCGAGACCTCTTATCTAGGCCAACCAGTTCTAAACATGTTGTAACACGAAGCATTGCGGAAATGTTTTTAATTCTGTTATTACTGCATTGATATAACAGAGCTGATTTCTCTACTTCTGGGAAGAATCCATATTGTGGAGTGGTGGGAGAAGATCAGGGAATCCCAGCTCTTATATAAATGTATACTGTACATGATAAAGACTCAGTTTCATTCTTCTGATTCTAGTAATTAAAAACAATATGGATCTCAATGTTTTGGTTTCCTTCAATGTTATTATAAAGCGCTGGCAGTGTTTATGGAAATACAAGATTTGTATGGTATTTTGCAAAAGAAAAATCCTCCAGGTATAATTAAAAACAAGACTTACAAATGCTTAGAAAGCAATATTTATGTATCCATAATATTGAAAGGTTATCCCAGGGTTGTAGGCTTAAACTGAGATAACTGATGCTGTGTTGAGGACTACATCGCAGTATAGAACATTTTAATTACAGTATACCTGTGACAATACGGTGTATAATGACGTTTAAGTGAAACCAGGTCTTGATAGAGGGAAATAATTTTAAAAATACTAACCAAGGAGCCAAAGGTTCACAAACTGTTGCTCTCCTCCAACATGACTTCTTTTGAATTCCAATGAATCAAAAGCACAAGATAGAGAAAAGCAAAACAGTTTTTTTACTACAACATGATAATGAAGGCCAGAAAAAAGCCCACAAGTATGTGGCTGGCGTTTCTGGATTGGAGGTCAAACATGCCTTTGATCCTCTCCTTCCCTTGGCATGTCTCTGTGGTACACAGACATGTCTCCCACTACACAGCTGTCACTATAAAAATCAAGCTCTTAAAGTTTTTAATGTTGCTCTCTTAGGAGGTGAGGGTTTAACGGGTGAAGCAGACACACATTTCCCATCAAATTCAGTTTGCTGTGCTGTCACGACATTTTCACTCAAATAATGAAAGCCAGGGCAGTTACACAACCCTGCTCAAGAAACCAATTTTTTTGGTTAAAGACGCCGAGTGCTCTTGAAACAAAAACCCCAAAAGATTTGCACAACTGTACAATTTGCCCAAAACCCACCTAAATACATGAACTGAAGAGTTCACTTCACAGAGAATAATCGAACTTGTTCTAAAATGTGGAAAGTACTGAGAAGCTATTCTTATAATACTCACCATGAGCATAAATATAAGCTAAAAAAAATGGGGAAGAAATAACAGGCGTGCTCTTAACGGTAACAGCAATTTGAAAGGGGCACTCATTTTATTAATCTCAGACTGCCATCAATCTCGATGTATGCAGTACACAGTCTCCCATCTGCTGAGAGCACAGGTTGCTATGTAAATGTGTCTTCAGTGGGGCTGACACAGGAGTAATGAATTCTGGCATTCATCCCTGGAGCCTCTCCCTGCCTGACAGCACTACGGCCCCTCCCAGAAGCCCTGCTCAGCCACCCCTCAGACCGCTCCTTTTGCCAGCTTAGCACAGGTATCAATAAACTGATATTTCCTATTCAGGGCCTCCTAGATTGTACAGGAAAGGAACAATGAGAACGTAAAACAAGACTCTGTCCCTAAAATAAAAGCTGTGTTTTAATCTGGCCTAAATCAAACCACGCTGGCTGACATGGACCATAAACAGCACAGAATTTTTACATGTTATTCTCGCCCTGACAGTTCGCTTTCATTGAATTGACATGGCAGTTTGCTCAAGCTGAGTTTCAGACTGATGTTTAGGACGTTTGCTAATTGCACAAGTAATGCAGTCCCTCGTTACCATGGCCAATGATGATTTAGTGCTACACTTTCTTCCTTTGAATGCTGAATACAACGTCTGTAAAACATAATAGCCCCTCGGTTCCCACCCTCAGAGAGACCAGGCGGTGACTGACTTTTTATGCAGCTGTCACATAAATACAGGACATGTTCAGCTAAAAGCTAAAGAATTTAATTAATTGCCTCTGAATCTGAAATGCTAAAGGTTTTAACTGTATTTCAAAGAACCCGGTGCAAGAAACAAAAGTACGAAACAACATTATATTCATGTTGTAATTTGTTTATCACGAGATAAATTACTGCAAGCACTGGAAGGACAGAGGCAAAAATGCAGCAATAAAGCAAATTTCAGAAAAAACTAGCAGCGCACGCTCCCCTTTAATTTGGTAAGATCTGCAGATCTTCCAAAACCACTGTTTCAGAACAAACAAAATGCCAGGGCTATTCTATAAGAGCATGGAAAACACAAAGACAAAGCAACATTTAAGTGCTTGTTGTTCATTTTCGACAAATCCTAAAAAGAGCTATTATTTACAATAAAAAGTACTATTGGATAAAACTTACTGAATAAAGCTCTGAAACATATTTCAGAAACTAAGAGACCAAAGCAATTTCTGAAGTAGTCAAGTCCTTTCAGAGATTAAATGCACGCTACTACATCTTCTTTTAATCACAATTTCATGAATGTGTTCCCAAATAAACAGGAAATGTATAAAGAAAGCTAATTTCTGCATGGGAGTCCCATGTAAACAAAACACAAAGCCTTTAAAACCTATTGCCAATATAAGTTGCGCTGGATATGACAATGACTTCACATCTGAAGAGTAGTATCAGAGCTGAGGTAGAAAGTGAAATACAATTGCTTCCTCAAATTCCCAGGGGCTCATTATTGTCAAAGGGAAGATAGTGGAATTCCCTTCTGCTGATGTGATTGCTACTGTAAGCTTCTGAGTGGGGATGGGTCATGACAGTACAATAAGTGAGCAAGAAATCCCACCTGATCCAAACCCCTGCCAGTCTATACTGGATTTAATGCAATTACACTGTCAAGCACATAATGTATAAGCCAGAAATAACATAAAATAATTAAACCCCATATGATAATTAAGATCTCACTCCCATCCCACAATGCCTTGTTAGCATGCTCACTTACAAATTAAAACTGAAATATCCAATTTTGAGAAACGTGTTCCCAATACATACTATAATCACACTTACAAAATTCCTTACCAAAACAGGTCTTGCAAACCAGTGAAAAGGTAAAGTTTCTTAAAAACAAACCTTCAAATTGATGCACATCCTTTAAACGTTATTCAACCATTATTTGTGACACATACCTTGGAACCCGGAGACAATCTGAACGAGGTCTTCATACACCATTAGTGTGGCCGATCTCTCAGGAAGTAAATCAAGGCTCAGAGATGAGAAAACTAGAAAATACATGAGAGAGGCATCAGCTCCGGACAGGGGCCATGGATCCAGCTCAATATCACACCAAAGGGATGCATCCTTGTCGCATATACCAGGGAAACTGGCAAACATGGATGATAAAATCCCTCACTGCCTGGTAAGAATATCACCATTTCTCTTTCGCCTTTTTTGCTCTTTTGAAGGCCACTGCAATGACAGCTCTTGTGTAACAACAACCTTGTGAACTTGCACTTCTGTGACTCAGTAGTAGTATATCCACCAGCTCTTCATGTGCACCAATAGCCCTCTTTACTCAAAGATGGCTTTTTCCTCCCATGGTTCCTTGCCACTGTTCTATGAATTCTGCAGCTGAAGGCCAGATCAAAAGTCCTGCTGGACTGGCTGCCATTTCCGTATACAGCAATTACTCATTCAGGAAGGCAGTATCAGCATGAATGGGTTTTTTCGAGGCTATGAACAAATCACTCTTTGTCAATATATTGATTTTTAATGAGGCAGCTATATCAATTATCGTTTAATACAGTTGAAAGATTCCCAGTGATATTTTGGAATACTAGTCGATATAGCCTACAATAAAACTAGGAAAAGGTTCACACTGTGCATTTTTCAGCACTATGTAATCATGCAGGAGTTTCCATCCTTTATATTTATGCAAGTCATGCGAAATTAAAAAAAGGGACAGATGATACTAAACACCAAACTGGCAATTATGTAGAAGTACACCTTGACTTATGTTCAGGTGTATTTTTCTATGCTTTGAACCCACAGGATATGGCATAACCCGTTTCCTATCCTTCATACTCGGTTCAGCCTTTAAGTTCTCAGATTTGAACATTTCCTATGTAACCTTTCATAGGGTATATGTAAGCCTTTAATTTTCATCTTAAAGGTTTTAATATGACTTTCAACAAAATTATTTCATAATTTCCCGACAACGCTGCAGACAGCCACTGTCAATTAAGAAGAAACGTGCTTAAGAAGCAAGGTAGTGGCTCCTGACCTACTGCTCAGCCAAGACAAATGCCTACTCAGAGCTCATGTTAGAACCTACAGTCCAGACAGTACTGATCTCTAGCTGTATCTTTAACTCCCTAAAGAGCTACACAGCACTTGGGCTGCTCATACGGGAAGCACATTGTTGGTTTGCATTGCAACATCAAGCCATGCGTCTTGATGAGTCTCTGCAAGATTCCAGTGCTTTCTAGGAGACCTGCATCTTCCCTTAGCTCAATACCAATAACTCTGCCACCGAGTTGTCAGGCTGAGAAAGAAGCTAAATGCTTGACAATACGCATTTGAGAGAACGTGCGCACGTGGTCTTCATCCTGCCTGTGCCAGTATGGAGGCTTCTACGTTGAGAGACCACATCAAATTCAAGAAAAAAAGTAAAATTGGATTTTAAAACTAAGACTGCAAAACAAAATCCATCACTGCAAGCTCGTATGTCTTTAATTAAGCATTTATCTTCAGTTACAGACGACAAATGACGTCAACTGATCACCTACTACAAGAATAATTATTCTACAATCATTAACTCCCATTAGTAATTTTTGCCTCGTATTCCCCTTTAAAAATGATACAAGAACTGAGAAAAACCTTTAATCATTTTGATTTAGCTTGTTATAGCTTTCAGCAATAAGGAAAGGCACAGACTTTTCCACAAGCATCTCCTCTCTTACGCTGTTGAAATGTATACAAGTTAAAAGCATGCAAGTCAGGTCTTGCCTATTGTACTTTTCTATTGCTTGTATTTTACTCATATTGACAAAAACTACATGAATACCAGTTAAATGTAACAGGCTGAGCAAGGCACATTATCACTTCTACATACCAGGTAACTTTTCTGGTCTCCATGGCGAGGAGTTCGGCACGTAGCCATGCTTGGTTGCCGTGACGATCAACAGGGTGCCGACTCTGTAGTGAAATTTGATGAAAGCGTTGCCATCTGCTCCTGAGGTTTCTGAGGTGAAGGAGGTCTGGTTGGTAAAAATTTCAATACTGGCTCCAGATATTGGCTGATGGGTACTCGCATCACTGACATGGACTTTCAAAGTAACCTCTGTATGGCAAGAAAACAAAATAAAAATGCTTTATTAAGAGTAAGATATAGATGTATTTAACATTTCAATTTGAACATGAATAATAAACCCAAAACTTGTGTGCCGATGGTTGAAGAAGGCTCGATAGTATTGTTTTTGTTTCCTATTTTCTGCAAGGAATTCACCTCTGCTTGTATCTATATACGGACAGTACGTCTGTCCTTTAGGTACAACAAAAAGATCTAAGAATACAACATGGCCAGTTGTGTATTACAAGGAAGGAAGAGATTGAAGGCACCTCTGCTATCTCAAACTGCAAAGGTAGAGCTCAACCAGCAGAGCTGAAGTCAATTACTGTTTATTTTGTCTCTTTAAACCCATTCCCCACTCCAATACTGTGAATTTACAAAAGCAACAGGAACTGGGAATTGGTGTAAAACAAGGAACTGGAATGGATCCAATGCTGGCAAATGGCTTATTATATAACCAAATAGCAGATGTTACGATTTCTCTTCAGATAAGAAAATAAAGTTTACAAATGAGAAGGGGCCATTTAGCCAAACCAGCTCAAATTTGTCTGCTAGTATCTAACCAATCTCAAGATGTCATCCAGGGTATCTGCTTCATTGACATGGCAGGATACAGTAGCTTGTCCCAAACTGCCACAACTCTGAATGAAACATTGTCTCCTGTTCCCAGTTTTAAATTCACTCCCCCCAAGCTTCCACACATGTGCCCTGGTTTGAATTTCACTGCAGATTCTGAACGAGTCCATTGATTGGAGCATTCTCCCCTCATCCATACAGTGTATTATCTAGCTCCAAATTCAAATACAATCATTACCTTGAATGTCTACTGCCTGCAGAATTAATGTGATTCTAGTACTCTATGGCTAAAGAAAATTGTGGGTCTTGTTTCAAGTGATCACTAAACTGCTTGCCTAAACAAATCATCCTGCTCTCATTGATCATACGTAAATTGTTCCAGGTCCTAAAAAATTGATATTCTAGTAGGATTTCTGGAACTCGCGTGGGAGGCTTTATGATTAGATTTGCACTGAAATCACTTGTAACATGCCAGCAGCCATATCACCCTGCAACTTACCACTGGCAGCCCACTGACGCTCAGCAGGCATGAGCCTGGTCAGGACCTGGATGGGAGACTTCCTGGGAAAAACTAAGGTTGCTGCTGGAAGACGTACTAGAGGGGCCAGTAGGGGGCGCTCACCCTGTGGTCTGTGTGGGTATTAATGCCCCAGTAAAGTGATGGGGACATTATAATGTACAAAGGTGCCGTCCTTCAGATGAGATGTAAAACCAAGCTCCTGACTCTCTGTGGTCATTAAAAATCCCACAGTGTTTCTCAAAAAGAGTAGGGGTGATACCCTAGTGTCCTGGCCAAAACTGACTTCCCAATAATCCACATCTCTGAACTGGCTTCATCACTCTGCTCTCTGTGAGTCTCCTGATGCGCTATGCATCATCCAGGTGGGGCGACACACTGGTGGTGGTGGAGGGGAGTCCCCATTGCTTGTAAAGCGCTTTGAGTGGTGTCCACAAAAGCGCTATATAAGTGTAAGGAATTATTATTAAAATGGTACTGATCAGCTGAATATTAGATGGATTCCAACATAAACCTACTTAAAATATTCCAGAACTAAAAAATAAGTTTGTGTCTGATTAATAATAATAATAATAAATAGCAATAATAGGCATTTTTGGAGTTTCAGTGCATTGAACGACCCAGTTGGTTCTATAATATTAAAAAAATCATTATGAAATGATCAAGAACATATGACCTCGTCAGAAGTGGAAGTACTGTTTGTTTCATTTTGAAAAAAAAAACTGCACAAACTGCCTTTGTTTTTTTTCTATTCAAAACAATGTTATCTGGATGAAGTGGTTTCATTGGTGACTCCAGCCAACACCCCATCTTTCACATGTTTCCACAGGAAACTGAAAGGATAAATCTAGTAGGCCCTGTGCCATTAATTTATAATGAGCCCCTTTTTTGTAAGGAAATAATCCCCTCGTCATTTGATAAGTCACTTAATTATGTATTTCAACCAGGCTTGTAATTATGTTGTATTTCCCAATAATGATTTTATAGAACGCTAGCACAGCACATTTCATTTCACATTTATACAAGAGCACAGCCAAAACCTTCAATGTGTGGATCTTTTATACAATGCACAGCAAAATGCTATCTGTATCAAAAGGCAATTTTTTAATTCCATTTCACATCTGTACCAGAAAACTGCTATCTAGTGGAGACAACATTTTGACAGTCTACAGTCGCAGAATTTTCCATTTGCTCATTAACACTTACAATAGATTGCTCCCTGCCTTCACCTTTCACTGCTCTAGGAAACTTCTGTAAAAACAGTTTCTTAGACAAAACAACTGTGTAGCCACCAGGTCACAACCAGCTGCTCTGTAAAAGCAGTCAGGACAGCTTATTGCATATTAATCAACTGTTCCTGTGAGCTTGCTGTGAAGATCTTCCAAGTCCCACTGAAAAACAGGACTTGGACGAACAAATATGCAGATAACAGGCTAAAAAACCCAAGTCAGATACCAATAGTGGAAACAGAAACCGTCCACGTTTATTGAAAGCTTGTAAAGGAAAAGTGCTTTTTATTTCACCCCCATGAAGGCACACCAGCTCAGAATGGTGGTCAAGTATTCTGACATCACCACACAAAGTTAGAAGAGGCATCAGCAAAAATGAATCCTATATTTCACAAGTTCTCTTTATGAAACAGTTGGTAAATCCACCTGAACTCCACACAGGTGTTCTGACAAGTGTTCTGTGTACCCCAGTACAACAAATAAAAGCAATATAAGTAATTAAAAATACTTGCCATCTCCCAGGGGACAAGGTCTGTTAAGTTTACAGGGCAAACATACATCTAGAGGACATAGCAAGCGGTAGTATATTGGTAATAGACATCTTGCTGAGAGAAACGCAAGCTTAGAGTGTTGCAGTCACTGGAGTTTTCAGCAACAAACTAGAGATTGCACAGGGTATGTCATGCATGTTAAAGCATTTCTATGACTAAGACTTTGTGATTCATCAAGAGATTCCTAAAAGTAAGGTGTTCTCCTTTAAAAACACAGATGTTGATTAGAAATGTGTATTGTGACGTGATTTGGGGATGAAGACACTGAAAAAACAAATGTAGTCAGAAAACAAACCGGGTTCTTACAAAGCAAGACATTTCTTCTATAGAATATGGCATTCGATTTTATTCACTCTGAATAGACAGTCCTCAGCTGCAAGCCAGCTATCGGGAGATTTCCAACAGACGTGTTCAGACAGACATCCCAGGGGGGGCTAATGATTTCATCCAGCACAACCAGTTGGTTATTTTACTGCCAGCTAATGCACGTATGTTTAAGGCTTTGGCAAATTAGATCTACAGAAGCAAAACAGTAATGCATCAGGCCAAGCTACGCTGCCTGACCTTTTCAAAACCCAATCAGATTACATCTTTCAGAAGCAGGTCTTCATCACATGGTAGCAATTAATTTTGCTTGGTAATACAAACACCAAAGTAACTAGCTGCAGATTCACTTTTAATAGTCATCAGCTATCATTATGTAATTTCTAATAAGCTTTCTCCAAATGGTTCCTGTATTAGGCCACTTCCCTGACAGCAGTGTAATTATACTGCAAGAACTATTATTTCCATGCTGAGATCTGTATATGACACCTTTCCCTCTTAATACACTCTGCACACCTGCTGCATCACCAGAGCACTGAGAAGACCAAGGAACAGGTTTTGCTGCTGCGTTCATCATTCATTCTGTGGGACAGTTGAACATGCCCTTAAATGAATTAAACTGCAGTATCACTCCTTTCCTTAGAAATCTCCATCCAAGATTTTATCTTTCACTTTAAAAAACACAACAGGTGCACAGTTGACAAATGCCACAGGTCAAAAGAAAGAAAAGGAAAATCTGTATCTTTCTTTCTCTAGATCTCAGCAGTACATGTGACAATTAATAAAGCTTTCATCAATAGCTTCTACAGAGATAAAGCACAGAATTCAATGCTAAATTTAATGTTTGATCAGAAACCAGAAATAAAAATCAAAATAAGAACAGAGTTGACAAAGAAGTCTGTCATCAGACTATCTCAAATTTAAAATTCCACGTGAAAAAAAATCAAAGTTAGTGTTATGGATTAGCTTTGAGTGGAGTGTCCAGAAAAACACTATATAAGTGTAAGCAATTCTTATTAGTTGTAGTAGTACTAATACTTGATTACGTAACACTATGCCTATGTACCACCCACTTTTTAAAATAAAATATTATGTCAAATACCAAGAACCTGATTCCTTCCAACCAATTTATTTGCTGGCTCATTCAGTCCAGGCTATGATTAAAAAAAGACAATGTCCAGAACAACAGTGAATCAGTAATATGCCGCGGGAACATTACATCATTCAAAGATGGAATTATGCAAGTCTTCAAATTAAACACGTTTTAGTAAGAAATGACAGGATAAAACCAGTATATAACTTGATGAAAGATTGACACATTGCAGTACACAGCACTACTTGAGCAGCTCTTTGTGAAGATGTAAACAGAGCATTCCGATCATCACAACCTAGAGCTTATTAGATATTTGTCCCATTGGTTCTGCCCTTGCAGTAAACTGCACGCCTTACAATGCTGTAAAACTATCCACAATAACCTCATAAGAAGGGAGCAAGCCACCTCATTTTAAAGGCTTTGCATCACATCCTTTGTTTAAAGCTTCAGTCAAGGCACCAGCTGTCCTGACTCTTTGGGGCCCCTCTGGGAATAGTGACGCCTGCCCTCCATCTCTCCCCTTATGATAGCAGCTTCTGAATCACTTCAGTGTAATACCACACTTAACCCAATACAATTACCTCAGCCAAGCAATTCAGGAGACCAAAACGGGACAGTCTACAGAGTGTGAACCCGTGATGAAGAAGAATGATCCACTCTCAGTGGTTCACACAATACCTGCCTACCAGGTCTACACTGAG